GAGATTTATCCAGCAGGAATAAGGATAAACACCCACCAAAGTGTGTCTGTTTCATTCCTTGAAATAAAATAAACAATAACTGAAATAAAATTAAATGAAATAAAAAATTTAATATTTAAAAAATTCAAATTTATTTTATTTCAGCTAGTTGCCAAGGCAATATTTTTCATTTAGTTTAAGTTGAAGTACTAAAATAATTAAAACAGAGTAAACTAAAAACTTAAACTTGATAAAAACTATATAAGCATATTTAAAAATTAATAATACAAAAATGACAAAAACTCATATTAATTTTTTTTATTTTTTAAAAAAATATAAAAAAACAAAAACAGTAATAGAATTTAAACAAAATTTAACAAAAACTGTAATAGTGTCTCAGCAATACTAAAGTAACACTGGTTTGTGTGTGTTTGTGTGTTCAGTCCAGGTTCATGTGCAGGTGAAGGTTCAGCTTCCTCCTACTCGTCCTCTGTTCAGTTTCCAGACTCTGTGCTTTCATTTATTAAGACGCATCCGCTGATGGACGAGTCTGTGCCGTCAATCAACAGCCAACCACTGATCACCAGCACCGCCAGCAGGTACCACACACACACAGGACATCAGCGTCTTCAGTCCCACTCAGTGAGCGTCAGGCCACCAGAGCTCTGCTGGAGGACAAGCATGACCTTCTTTCATCAAGCTTTTCTTTTATAAATCTTACCGTCTTGTTCCAGGTGTAGCGGAGGGCGCAGGGTTTTGGGTCTGGAGTTGGATAAGGAGCATCACGCTCTGTTTGTGGCATTTTCCAGCTGCATTATCAGAGTTCCTCTCAGCCGCTGCGCTCAGCACACCACCTGCAAGAGGTGAGACATGCACACACCAATCCACATGCTAAATATCAGCTTAAACATACTTGAAATTCAGTATGTAACACAAGTAACAGCACTACGCTAAATACAATGCGATTACAGAAAAATAAAGGTTCCCTTACAGTACTTTAATACAGGAAAATGCATTATATAGGGTCTTATGAAATACACGTTTTTTCCCCCAAAAATTTGGTTTTATTTTTTCTCAAATTCCATTTTTTCACTTTTAATTTTTCTAAATTCATTTTTTTTTTCTTTTTCTTTTTTTTTTCTGGATTACATTTTAATGGTTAAATTAAATTTTAGTAATCTAAAAGCATGTAATTAATTGAATTAATGAAACTTACACAATTTAACGACAATTTATTAAAAGTTTAACACAAATTAAATTTTTGGGGCCCTATGAAATGTAAAATTTTTCCCAAATTCTGTTTTCTATTTTAATTTTTCTGTATTCCATTTTAAAGATTTGATGAAATGTTAATATTCAGAAAGCATGTCTAACAAATTCATAAAACTTAAACAAATTAATAATTTACACCAAAAAAATTTCAATAATAGTTTTTTTCCCCCGAGAAATTCTGTTTGTTTGTTTAAATTTTTCTGGATTTAGTTTTTATTTTCCAGTTTTACTTTTTCTGGGTTTTATTTTAAAGATTTTATTAAATTTTAATATCCAGAAAGCATGTCTAACAAATTCATAAAACTTAAACAAATTAAGAATTTACAACAAAAAAAATTCAATATTAGGTTTTAATTTTTCTGGATTTAGTTTTTATTTTCCAGTTTGACTTTTTCTAGATTCTATTTTAATGATTAAATAAAATTCTATTATCAAAAAACAGTGGTAATCAACTGTGTTCCTGCACAGACGCTGTCTCCACACGCATGACCCATACTGCATCTGGCTGTGGACGGGATGCTGTGCTGACGTGGCTCCAGGGTTCAAGTAAGAGTGACCTGCAACAGTAAACCTGATGCCAAATGAGCTTAAACTAAACCACCTGTCTCTGTGTGTGTGTGTGTGTGTGTGTGTCTGTATGATGTGTGTGTGTGTGTGTGTCTGTATGATGGTGTGTGTATGTGAGTGTCTGTATGATGTGTGTGTGTCTGTATGATGTGTGTGTGTGTGTGTGTGTGTGTTTGTATGTGTGTATGTGAGTGTCTGTATGATGTGTGTGTGTCTGTATGATGTGTGTGTGTGTGTGTGTGTGTGTTTGTGTGTGTGTGTGTGAGAACAGGGCAGGTTTTGAGCAGGATGTTGACGGTGACGAATCACATTCATTTGACACATGCACCGGTAAGTGAGTCACTGTCACGTTACAGCAGCGATGCTTCACTTCTGAGCTAAATACTGTCATACTGTCATATTTTAATCTCAGATAAATGTAAATATTGTTCTAGGAAGTATAAGGGAGAATTTTGGCCCTGATGTTTGATTAAAGTTTCTCATTTAACATAAAAGGAAACGATGTCATGAACTTGATTTCACGCAGTGATTTGATGTAACAGATCTGTTAAAAAACAAATGTAATACTAACTAATGAACCAATGCTGATGTCTTCAATATTGTATGTGCTCCGATGTGATGTCAGCAGCTGGAAGTGATGTGAGCTCAGCTGTGGATTCAGCCTCCGGTCAGTGTCACACACATTATGATCTCATCTAGTTTTTTGAAATGGAACAGTTTATTAAACCTTTAGGCAAAATATTTAAAAAATCTAAATCAGGCTTTTATGGCTCATATAGTCTGATATAGTGAGAATATATAGTAAAAACAGCTCAGTTTTATTCCGAGACTCAAAAATATGAATTTGCATCAGATGCTGATATTTATATGATGAAATTCCGATGCTTTTAATGTAAATCAGTGAGATCTTTATAACATAAAATGATCTAAATATCAGTGGTCGCTCTATATCTCCAGTAATCTGTCTCAGTAAGATGAGATGTAAATGCTCCAAACATATAATGCAGTGATTGTATCTCTTCTAAACACGAGTCAGAAAACGGGATCAACATAATGCAGTTGTTGCACCACTGAGCTCCAAGTGTGTTTGTGTACCACTGACTATGCAACAGTAATGTTTGTGTTTTCATTGAGAGGAGCATCTTGTTCTCCAGTGAATCAGTAAAATCTCCACCGCATCACATCAGACTGACATTATTGAGCTGCTCGTGTGTTGGACTGCAAGTGAATAATAAAGGATTAAATTTGATTTCTGAAACAAAACTTTGGCCAGTAAATACTAATTCTAATTTCTTTCAGTCTATAAACTCGTAAGCAAAAGCATAATATGAAACAAAAAATACATAGACGTGTATTAATAAATTTAACAACATTAGACTGTAACTGAAAATGAGTCGGCCAGAGCTAATGTAAAGGCTACTAACTGGATCTGTCTGCTCAATGTTTTAAGCAACAGATCTGGATCTTTTTATTGCACGCCTTAAATGTTCTGCTTTCGGTCAGAAAGACACTGTAAACTGACCTGATTTGGATCCAGTCGTCCACGTGTTGGCTGGCCATCAGAGATTCCATGTAATCTCGTCCCATGTAGAACGGAGGACGCTCGTTGATCTTCTGCGGGACGCGCTCCAACAAACCCACCGGAATATACCTGAACATAACGCACAAATTACACAATTACAAAGAGTTTCTCAGCCTGTGAAAGAAATATCAAATATAGTGATAACACTATACAGTAAGATCCCATTAGTTAACAATGAGCAATATATGTTAGTGTTTATTAATTATTGTTAATGTTAATCTATAGCTATATAAACAGACACAACAGGGTTCCCACTCTTTTTCAGTGATCCTTTTCCAGGACATTTTTTATTTAATTACGGCGGGAATAAAAGACAAGGATCATGCCCTAAAGTAACATTCCTCTCTCCAGAAGTCTTTAAAAACATTCAGTTTATGGCCGGGATTTAACTATAAAATCAGCTCTTTAATACGAGCTTCTTAATTATACATTACAACAAATGATTTTCAGAACCAATTTCAGTTCCATAGCAAAAAAAAAAAAAAAGCGTTTAACTATTTGAAAAATAAAAATGAATTAAGTAATGCTAATAATAGTATTAAAGAAAATATGTTAAAATACTGACATGTATCCTTCAAATTAGGGATGCACGATATTGGATTTTTGCCGATATTTTTCAACTCATTTTGGCCGATACCGATATATTTATTTTGTTTGGAAACAACACCAAGTCTCTCCTGTGCAGAAATCATAAGCCAATTATTTTTAATTTTGGTTAGTTTTTAAAAAGAACTTATTTGTTAGAATTAAATATACAATAATGAAGTTATTTTATAATGACAGTGCATTGAAGCTTTGAAAATAACTATATATAAACTATATATCAATCGCTGCATTTATTTATTTATTTTTCCAGAAAGATGCAGTGGTAACCTTAACATTTTATTTTAAGATTTAACATTTTTTAATGGTCTAAAGCAAAAGAGTTGTAAAAATTCAGAAAATCTTTTAGAGCTCATAATTTGTTTAAAAAATATAACATATTACACATTAATGAATAAATCAGTATATATAAAATTATTTAATTTAAGTCATGTTTGTGATTTATTTTTTTGTTCATGTAAGCTATAGCTTCTGACCTTTAAAGCTGACATCAACTACTGCTTTATTTAATCAGAAACACAGTCTAAATATTATTTGTGTATTTTGCTTTCATTTTATTAGAAGTAGGCCTACAGCGCCCCCTACAGAATTAAAACTCCTTACCGGACGGGCTTTAGGACCCGGGGGAGGCTGCCGCTGCGCGTGCTATTACTGTTTACTCGATCTCACACCGAACACATTCTGTACTGCATTCTCAGATTAAATGCAGCGATCCAAAACAGTGAATCTAATCATCACAGACAAAACTTTGCTTCAAGAATGAGCCACACTGATCTACACATGATCAATACCGTGATAATACCGTATACCGTGATAAAAGCATTAGCAATTAATCGCAACATGAAAATTTGATACCGGCATATCCCTAGTTAACAAGTTACTGAACTACTGTTAACAAAGCTGCTTTCCAGTTTACTATACACATTCATCACAAGACTAACCAGCGTCATTCAAAACACTTCTCTTAAAGGTCACCACTGGATAGAGCGATGCAAACACAACAATGTTCACACTGTCAAGAGTCAGCAGTGATGCAGCAATCTTCATTTTTTATGGCCGATTCCATTTTTTTACATGCAAATGGGCCGATTCCGATACCAATTAGTTCATATTCATTTAATTTTTTTAAAAGCGAGAGATAAGACGGAATGAACATTTGAATGCATAAACAAGATGTTTTGTGCTCTTTTACAGGCCAAACTCTCTCTATGATGAGGCAACCACTGCATTTTAATCACGATCCAAACAAAGATGATGCATACATGAGCAGTTTCTGATTTAAATTAGATGTAACTTCAAAATCTGAAGCAAAAACAGAATGGTCTGACTTTATCTTAATGAAATTATTAGGGATGCACAGATACCACACTTTTCAAAATGAAGCCGATACTGATGCTTTTATTTTTGGTACTAGCCGATACAGAGTACCGATACCTGTATTTTCATGCCATTTGTAATTTTTAAAAATACTGGGTACAGTATGTTAGTTGGCTTGGTTGATTTAGCAAACAGATATTTCCTTTCCATTTTCACACTTAATTATGCCCATTAAAATATACTGTACAAGCTTTTGTTACTTTCACTGTTCATTTTATTGCTCCACGTAATGCTTTACAAATATTTTTCATTGTTAGATCATGTTACGTAGTTCAAAATTAAAAAACGAATGTCGTTAAATTCATTAACTCACGCTCATGTTGTTCCAAACTCTTGGAATTGAGATGTAAACTCAAAATTGTGAGAAAAAAGTCAGAACAGTGAGAAAGAAATTCAGAATTGTGAGATAAAAAAATAAAAAAAAAATGTTAGAAAACCGTTAGAATTGCGAGATATAAACTTGAAATTCTGATTAAAAGCGCGAGAAAAAGAGTCAAAACTACGGGAAAAAAGTCTGAATAGAGCGGGGGAACTGTGACGTCCGAATCCGGAAGAGTAATTCGCCGCGGGTTCCTTCGAGATTTTCCTATGCGGTTTTATAATGGGGTTTTCCAATTAATGAGTGAAATAAAGCCTGTGGTAAACATAACTTGACCATACTTTTACATTTTGTTCTACAACGTAAATTACACGCATCTTTACCCAAAACACGACTTTTGAACCAGTTATTCATTTTTGAAAACTATGTTTTTAATAATTAGATAAGAACGTTTGGGCTGTGAGTGTGTGCAGTTCACATTGTAGAACAGAACGTCAAAGTATCATCAAGTTATGTTTACCACAGGCTTTTTTTAAAATTCCACATAAACTGAAAAACCCCATTATAAAACCCCATAGGAAAATCTCGAAGGGGACGTCATAGTTAGGTTTGAACGTCATGAGGGCGAGTAAATGATCAGAGAATATCCATTTCTGTGTGAACTATCCCTATTAAACTCATCACCTGCACAGGAAGGAGAGCCACTCCAACAGGAAGCTCCGTGTCTTCTCGACGCCCTGCGTGTCGGAGCCCCAGTGCTCGAGGCCGTAGTTGGTGAAGTCGCGCAGGATGTCCAGACGTTCTCCGGAGGAAATGTCCCAGTGTCTGTTCTCCTTGATCTCAGTGAAGAGCCACGGCTTGATCAGCGCACCCCTGCAAACAGGAAGTAGTTCATTCAGAGCCGCCACACATGATGATGATGATGCTGTCAGACTGACCTGGCCACCATGATCCCAGACACTCCAGTCTCTCTGGCCTTCATGGCGTCTTCATACGACAGGATATCTCCGTTACCTGCACGAAACACAGCAGCACTGTCACGTGTTTTGCAGTGGAATATCTGCATCTTCTGCCTGCGTCAGTGTATTTACCGAACAGTGGTACGGGAGCGGCCAGTTTTGAGCAGGTGTCGATGTATTCCCAGTCAGCCGACTTCGTGTAACGCTGTTCGCGTGATCTGCCGTGCAACTGCAGAAACAAACCGACTCAATGAAGCGTCACGATCAACGATGACAGAATAGTTTCTGCGGGTCTTAATTCGCGTTTTCACAAATTAAGGCCTTGAAAGGTCTTGAATCAGAACAGAAAGTCTTAAATTCATTAAGTCATGGTATTAAATGTCGCAAAAAATCAATAGCTTCCTAAATATTTTTGCCCTGTTTTCCAGTACAGTTCTGAGAGGAAACAATCTTAATTGTGAGATATAAACTCGCACGTGTAAGAAAAAAGTTAGAACTGCGAGATATAAACTTAGAATTGCAAGAGAAAGTAAGAATTGCGAGAAAAAAAAAAAAAAGAAAGAATCGCGAGAAAAAAAAAACGGGAATTGCGAAAAAAAAAAAAAAAAAATCGCGAGATAAAAAAAGGGAATTGTGAGATAAAAAAAATACGGGAATTGCGCAACAAACTCAGAATTGCGAGATATAGTCAAAATTGTGAGACGTAAATTTAGAATTGCGAGAAAAAATGTGAATTGCGCAACAAACTCAGAATTGCGAGATAAAAAAAGGGAATTGTGAGATATAAAGTCAGAATTGTGAGATATAAATTTAGAATTGCGATTAAAAAAAAAGACTTCTTGCGTCCTTTTGCTTGTCAAGTAAATGTATTTTGATTTAAATTTCTAGACATTTGCACTGGAAAACAAGACAGAAATACTGAGTAAAGTATCCGTTTTTGTAGTTCAGTAAAAGTTATTTCAGTATTTTTTTGTAAAATGAACTAAAAAAAAGTAACTGACACTTTCAAACTTTGAAGTGTTGCTAATAGAAGACATTTACATTTAGTTACTATAATGACGTATTGTGTCCCCTTCAATTTATTCCTTAAATCTTCTTTAAGACCAAGTAAATTTATCTTCATCAAACCTACAGAACCCCGGTGTCACGTTTGTACGAGCTGCTCGTTGACCGGACTGAACTCATCGTACCGTGATGAGCGAGACGCCCCACTTCTTCATCTCTGGGATCAGCTTGTGTGCGATGCTGCAGTTCTGCTGGACTCCGGTACGGATCTTAACCGTCAGAGGAACGTCTAGCACCTGCGGATACGACACGACAACGCCGTGAGTGACACTTCACATTAGGGCTGGATAAAAAATATCGATATCTCGATTTTAATCGATTCTCATTTTTACGGAACGATATCGATTCTTAAATCCCAGGAATCGATTAGTCTAGCCTGTTTTCAGTTAATAGACGGAACATTGAAGTGCATCTCCCATCCAATAAATCGCAATAAGCATTGTGTTTTGGTACTTTTAATATGAAACAAAGTCTCAGATTTCAAATTCTGTCCATTGTATTGCAATATTCAAACAATAAATG